CGTCAACGTTGAACTCCAAACAATTCCACGTACAGCACTAGCGTGCAGCCACGTCATTTCAACCCACGAGACACCCTCCACACGATCCTTCTATCGAGTACAGATTTCTCCTGCAACGTCCCCCACCGCCTCCCTTTCTCGTTTGGATAAACCTCTGATACTCATTTCGCGCATGATTGATCTAGAATCTCCGGTTGCATGTCCCATAGTGATCTGTCCTGCAGCTACATGGTGATTTGTCTGAAATACTAGCGCAAGCTGTCTGCTGTTTCTCTTCAGATATTATTAGAGCAGCCTGCTTCTCGTTTCAATTGCAGCAACCCTAGATATTACCAATCTGTTTGGATTACCGCTGACGTCCAGTGATCTCGCCGTCCCAGTCATGGCGTCAGCATTGACTCACATCGGAGCAACGCGTCTCGCCACCATTCGTCCAGAGCCCACCGCCACTCTCAGAACTCCCGCGAGCCAGCCTTCGTCCTTAACATGGTTACCACCAGCCGGTATACGCCACTCTGTGTCGCGAGTTTCCGCTGATCTCGTCGGGGCGCGGCCCAGTCACGGCTGGCCGCACGGAGGCAACCGCTCGGCGCGCTTAGAGGTGACGGCGAGGGCGGGAGGCGCGCGGCCGCGGCCCGCTGGTGCGCGGCCGTCGCAACGGCCGCCGATGAGACGGCAGCAGCAACAGACGGAGGATAAGGACGGACCGCTGATGAACAGTGATATCAGGTGAGACGGACCGCAGGTGAACTGAAAGCAGGTGATTCGCACTGCAGATGAACACTAATATCGACGGACCGCAGGTGAACAGTAGATCAGATGAGACGGAGTGCAGGTGAATGGTGGACAGGTGAGTCGAATCGCATGCCAACAGCCGTGCTAGATAAGCAATAATAAGAAGGATCCCTGACGTTAGGTGAAACTTCCCAGGCTTGATTAGATTAGAAGGCAAGCCGTGAGCGACGGGGGGGGGGGGGGAGAGAGGTGGGGAGGTGGCGGGGGGGGGAAGGGGGGCAATGCAGCCTCTGGAGCGCAATGCATCGTAGCCCGTGGATCGCTTGCCTCGGGGCTGTCGCGACGCGTCCCATTGGAGACCGTTTGGTTAGCATGGATTGTGGAAAGTTCGGTCCGATGCGTCTCAACGTAGGCTTTAGTTTGCGCAGCAGATTTGAGGCGGAGCGGATTAAAGCGGTCACCTGTGCGTGCATTTCGCCGCACACGACGCGCGAGCTGTCGGCGAGAGCAGCTGCAGGCGTCTGAGCCGTGGCACGGTGCGCTATCTTGACGCGTCGCGAGGGTGTCCTTTGAGGCGCCTTGGAACGCGAAGGTTGACTCGACGCGCTGTTTCGACGCGGCTCGTGCGTGTTGTTGAAGTGGTTCGTCGAACTATATCCGATTCAGAGTGTGAGGGGATTGGGTGCGGGGGGTTAATGCTCGGGTGTGGGGGGTCGCGCGAAGCACTGTGATCACGACGGGTGCGCGTGTGGGGGGTCCGTGTGGGTCGCGGTAAGAAAATCCCCTCCATTGCCGACAATGTTGATATCACTTTTGAGAATCACGATGTTCTTAAAAGAGACTTCCCTCCTTTGCCGACGACGATCTCGCAGCGTTCGCTCTGCCGCAACGCGAACGACCTGGCCATCGCGAGTCGAGCCTAACCGACCTAACGGTCACCATGTTCGCACCGCGTTTTCATTTTGATGTGCGAATCGATTGCGTGTGTGGAGTCTAGTCGAGTCGAGTCGGCTCACTAGTCGCCACATGCCAGTCACTAGTCGAGTCGATTCGCCATGCACCATCCACCAGTAACCATGTAACATCCACACATGCACCATCCACCATCCACCATCCACCATGCAACATGTATCTACGTACCCCGTATGCCAAACCATTCTGCACCCATGCCATGCCGTCCCTCCACGTGGCAGGGTGCCCACGCTGCGGCTGCTGGCAGAGACCAGGCTCTGGTGAGTGCAGCAGCACCGCGTGGTCTGCTCGGAGGGATTCTCCTTGGCGCCCCTTTGACCTCTGTCAATGCACACTTGCTGCTTCTCTTCCGCGTAGTGTAGGCGAGCGAGAGAACAAGAGCATTGAACAAGGAGTCCTTCTCGAGTTATTGTAGGTGTACATCTTTGTTCTCTCTCGCGCTGCGCCTCCCATCTCCTAGTCTCACCGTCGCCCTTTTTATTACCTGCCGCTGTGACTAACTTGAGCCATGGCTGTAGTCGTGGCCGTTCCTCTCCTCTCCTGTTCCTGACTGAAACCACTGTGGCCTTCCCTCGCCCCTCTCTTTCTCCCTTTCCCGCTCCCTCTGCCTGTGCCTGTCTGCCTGCCTGCCTGCCTGTGCGTGCCCGTCTGTGCGAGCGAGCATGAGAGCAGCTGGGGATAGTATCGAGAGAGGAGGCGCTCTCCAAGGCCCGAGAGGCGGGGCTTGACCTGGTGAGCCGGTGCTGGGGAGTTTTGAGGCGTTCTGTGATGTGATGAGGCGTGCTGCGGCGTGCTGCGGCGTGCTGGGGTGTACTGGGGTGTGCTGGGGTGTACTGGGGTGTGCTGGGGTGTGCTGGGGTGTGCTGGGGTGTGCTGGGATGTGCTGGGGTGTGCTGCTGCGATTCCACCCAGAGGTAGGGTTGCAGAGTTGAACCTGGTGAGTGGTTGCTGCTGTCCCGTTGGGAGAGCCCGTGATTGCTTCTCCATTCGCTCATTCTTCCGCTTTCATTGCCCCACCTCAGTTACCCTCCCCTGCCCTCCCTCCGTTACCCTCCCCTGCCCTTCCCTGCCCTTTCCTACCCTCCCCTACCCTCCCCTGCTCTCCCTTACCATCCCCTACCCTCATCCTGCCCTCCCCTACCCTCTCCTGCCCTCCCCTGCCCTCCCTCCCTGCCCTCCCCTCCCCTCCCCTCCCCTCCCCTCCCCTCCCCTCCCCTCCCCTCCCACCCCTACCCTCCCCTGCCCCCCCCCCCCTCCCTCCCCTACCCTTCCCTGCCCTTCCCTGCCCTCCCCTACCCTCCCCTAACCCCCCCTAACCTCTCCTGCCCTTCCCCGCCCTCCCCTGCTCTCCTGCCCTCCCGTGCCCTCCCGTGCCCTCCCCTGCCCCCCCCTGGTCAGAACTTGAGCTTAGAATCTATGAATTAGTAATGAGCTTGAAGCTCTTTAAGTACATCCACAATGAGCAAGAAATGGATGGGGAGGGAATCGGGGCAATATCTAGAGATTGGGGTAATCCCAAGGCAATTCCCAACTAGTGGGTTGGAGATTGCTTGCAGATCACATTTGAGTCTGGTTGGGATGTGGGCGTACACCCAACCAAACACAAGTGCAAAGTATACTAAACTAGGATATATAAGTACAAGTACAAAATGTGAGATTGAAGGCTAACACTAACACCCCTACCCTCCCCTAACCTCTCCTGCCCTCCCCTGCCCTCCCCTGCCCTCCCCTGCCCTGCCCTCCCCTGCCCTCCCCTCCCCTCCCTCCCCTCCCCTCCCCTCCCCTCCCTGCCCTCCCCTCCCCTCCCTTCCCCTCCTCTCCCCTGCCCTGCCCCGCCCTTGCGTGCCATGCATGCGGGGGTGAGAGCAGGTGATGATAGCAGCGGATGCCAAGCCGCCTGTGGCACGAATCATGGACTACAGGTGAACGCTCAGTGCTCACCTCACCCACTCACATGGGCTGTTTGTGTAGGAGGCGTACTGACATTTCAGTGATTGCGTCTGGTGTATGTGAGTATGCACTCGTTTGTGTGCTCGTTTGTGTGCTCGTTTGTGTGCTCGTTTGTGTGCTCGTTTGTGTGCTCGTTTGTGTGTGCTGTTTACCTTCAGCTCCCTCCCTCAGCCTCTCTCTGGTAAAGCAATCATACTCTGTCTTGCTTCTGCTTGTTTACTGCCTCATCCCGTCCCACCTGTTTCATCCTCGTTACAGCAAGTTCCGGTACGAGCAGCAGAAGAAGAAGCGCGAGCAGCAGAAGAAGGCTGCTGCCAGCCGCCAGGAGCTCAAGGAACTCAAGATGCGGTCAGCTCCCTCACTCACCCTCTCACTCCCTCACTCGTGCCAATCCAGCCCTTCTTCCATCCCTGTAATCCATTTCTTTGTATTATCAAGGACATGCCGACAGGAGCTCAACATGCGGTCAGCTCCCCACTCCCTCACTCCCTCACTTCCCTCCCTCCCTCACTCACTCACTCACTTCCTCACTCACTCCCTCGTTCGTGCCAACCCTTCATCTCTGTGAGCAAATTTTAATTAGACTTGATTGCATGTCAACCTTGGGATTGCATGTCAACCTTGGGATTGCATGTCCACCTTGGGATTGCATGTCAACCTTGGGATTGCATGTCCACCTTGGGATTGCATGTCAACCTTGGGATTGCATGTCCACCTTGGGATTGCATGTCAACCTTGGGATTGCATGTCAACCTTGGGATTGCATGTCCACCTTGGGATTGCATGTCAACCTTGGGATTGCATGTCAACCTTGGGATTGCATGTCAACCTTGGGATTGCATGTCCACCTTGGGATTGCATGTCAACCTTGGGATTGCATGTAACCTTGGGATTGCATGTCCACCTTGGGATTGCATGTCAACCTTGGGATTGCATGTCCACCTTGGGATTGCATGTCAACCTTGGGATTGCTTAGTTGAGAAAAAGTTTGCATGTTGACGTTGAGAACGCACACTCTCACTTCCCTTCCCCACAGCTTCTCTACCCTTTTCCCCTCCTCCACTTTTCCCTCCTGCAACTTTCTTCTCGCCCATCGCCCCTCCCCACCCAACCCCTTCCCTGCTCCGGCCATTTGTCTAGTAAGGCATGCGTCCACTTGTCGTGCCGACATACCTGTGAGAGTGAGTGAGTGTGAGGCATTTGCAGCATTCGAGGCAATCGCCCCTTGACTCTCCTTGTGCGTTCCCCCTCTCCTCCCTCCTCCCCCTCCCACCCAGGTAAAACATCGACACGGGGCGATTACAAGGTGCGACCCAATTGTGAGTGACGTGAGGCATCAGTGCTTTCACTCTGCTTGTGCCTTCCCCGACCCTCCACCCCCTCCCCACTGGTCCTCCCCAGGTACAACATTGACACGGGGGACTACAACGTGCGCCTCAAGCAGGCGCTCAAATTCCTGCACGATGGCGATAAGGTGCGGTGCATGATGGCGATAAGGTGCGGTGCATGATGGCGATAAGGTGCGGTGCATGATGGCGATAAGGTGCGGTGCATGATGGCGATAAGGTGCGGTGCATGATGGCGATAAGGTGCGGTGCATGATGGCGATAAGGTGCGGTGCATGATGGCGATAAGGTGCGGTGCATGATGGCGATAAGGTGCGGTGCATCTGGGGAAGGCGTGTGGTGCATCTGGGGAAGGGGTGTGGTGCATATGGGGAAGGGGTGTGGTGCATATGGGGAAGGGGTGTGATGCATATCGGGAAGGGGTGATGCATGGTGGGGAGAAGGGGTGATGCATGGTGGGGAGAAGGGGTGATGCATGGTGGGGAGAAGGGGTGATGCATGGTGGGGAGAAGGGGTGATGCATGGTGGGGATAACGAGTGAAGAATGATGGGGATACTGTGTACGGCAAAATAAGAGCTACAAAAGACTTTTCCGCATATGTTTCCCCATTCCTCATCTGTCCCTTCTCCCCTCCCTTGCCGTCTGCCCTTCCTCCTTTCTGCCCCTCTCTCCACCTTTTCCACTCCCGCCTTCGGAGTGTGTGTGGGAGGGCAGGTGAAGCTGACGGCGCAGTTCAGAGGGCGCGAGATGGAGTTCAAGGAGCTGGGGGTGAAGCTCTTTGAGAAGTTCCAACACGACGTCGCTGAGGTGAGAGCATGGTGTGGCTGGTGTGAGAGCATGGTGTGGCCGAGGTGAGAGCATGGTGTGGCTGAGGTGAGAGCATGGTGTGGCTGAGGTGAGCAAATAGCATGGTGTGGGCTGTGTTGCCTTCACCTGTGGGCACACTCTTGACCACTCACCTTCTTCCCTCTGCCCTGTTGCTCCCTCCCTGCAGCTGGCGATAGTGGAGTCGAAGGCGCATCTGGAGGGGCGATCGGTGCACATAGGTGCCAGCGCGCAACAAGGCCACATTCACCCCCCTCACCTTAATGCGCGTGCCTCTTCTACTCATGTCTTTCCCACTCCCCTTGCAGCTGGCGATCGTGGAGTCGAAGGCGCATCTGGAGGGGCGGTCGATGCACATGGTACTGGCGCCCAACAAGGCCGTGCTGCAGCGCATGGCTGCCGCCGAGGAAAAGAGCCGGCGGGCGGCGGAAAGGAGCAAGCGTGCCGAGACGCGTGGAGTGGTGTCTGGGAGTGAGAGTGACGGGGGGGAGAGTGGGGGGGAGAGTGATGGGGAGAGGCGATGGGGAGGAGGTGGTGGAGGTTGTGAAAGAGAAAAGTGGGCGGCAATAGGTGATGTGGAAAATTTGGGTGAAGAAAACGAAACGAAATGCATATTTTTGGAGATAAGCTATAATGGTAGTTTTTGGTAGTCAACATCTGCTACCGTATTTTGGACAAAACACCCCCAATGATAGAGCACCCCCGGGTAGCTTGTGCAGGGTGGATGCTATGGAAGACCTCGATTTCACTATACCCTCTTTTTGGATGATTTTTATAACACCCCCCTTATCTTACTGATTCTATATTATAGCTGTTAACGAGTAGGTGCAAATATGGAAATATATCGCGAAAATTCCTCGCTCGATGGAATTTCTCTTTTCTTTCACATCAAATCTGCCGAGATTCCCCCCCGCCCACTATTTCGCTGTCGCCACGTACTGGAGATCTTCCGCTGCATGTGGCCGGGGGGGTGCCAAATGACATTTTCGAGGGGTTGATGACGTTCGCGTCGAAACTGGCATTCGCGCCTTAACATGTGATGTTTAAAGCCCAAAGCCCGAATTACAAAGTCAAAAGCAAACTGGTGACACTGTGCCTCCCGCACCTTCCTCTGCCGAACCACGTCGAGGGATCCCCACCTGCTTGGGGCTGTGCCCAAAAGTGATGACAGTTTGGTGGCGTGACGGTAATTCAGCAAAGGCATTGACTTTCCAGTTTGGGGCGGTTGCTTGGGGCCCAGTGTTGCGATTCACTTTGCTTTCGCCCATTCTTTTCGCGAATCATTGGGTTCGCTTTTGTTCCGAACCATTCCCCAACCTCCTCCCGAACTTAGGTTTTACCGAGTTGACCAGCTTTGAGTAATTCGGGGTTTGGCCTTTAAAAGCCCATGGTAACACTCAACTTCTCTAATAAAAAAAAACTAACACTAAAATATACCATCTATATGCACCCGGGTATTATGTAGCTTTTCCTATGAGAAGACACCCCCCTTTTTTTCCCTGTATTTTTAGATCTACCCTAGGGTGTTATGTCCGGGAGAATTCGGTGAGGAAAGTAGAACGAGAATGGATTGACTAAGGAATGAGAGTGATATAAAATATGCAACCCTAGAAATGTGTACCCCATATAGACTACCCCACTATAGCCTACACAATATTATAATTTGACACACCCCCATTGACAAAATAAAAGAGAACAAGGGGTCACAAGACCAGTCAAGCACAGCAAGGCAAAGCTCAGGGTGGATCACAACGTCACCACACAGTCCGAGCACAAGGTCAAAGCCACAAGGCCAGTTCACATGCAGGAGTGCACATATATATATAAGACTAAACAAGCAAGAGCAGGTATATATATATGTAAGAGTACAAGCAAGATCAAGAGGTCAGCAAGTGAGGCAAGACAGGCACAAGACCCAGCTGAGTGCAGAAGCGCTGATGATCACAAGGCGGAAGTGCCTTGGTGAAAACATCAGCAGTGTTGGCCTCAGAGGCCACGTACGCAAGTCGCAACTGACCACGCTGCTGCAGCTCACAAGCAAGAAAGTAGCGGAGGGCAATGTGCTTTGTTCTGTGCTCCAGGTGCTGCTCCCGACACAAGGCTAGCATGGCCTTGTTGTCTACGTACAGCACCGGAGGAGAACGAGGGCGGCTCTCCGAGGTCAGTCAGCAGGTAGGTAAGCCAGCGAAGCTCTTGTGCAGCCATGGCCCCGGCGTAGATCTCAGCCTCACAACTGGAGCCAAGAACAGAAGACGAGCGAGTAGCCCGCCACGAAACAGAGCCGGAACCAAGGCTGAAGGTGTAACCCTGTGACGACCGCTGCGTAGCCTGGTCGTTTGCCCAAGAAGCGTCCGCGTGCCCAGTGAGGACCACTGGACTCTACCCTCCAATAACTAGCCCCATGCCCGACGTACTGCACAAGTAGCGCAACACCCTCTTCGCTGCAGCCATGTGCTCTGGTCTGTGTCTCCCAGGAGCAACATAGCGTGAAAGAATGCTAAGAGGGTATGCAAGGTCAGGTCGTGTGCAGGTCATCAGGTACATGAGGCAGCCAACAAGCTCTGGGTACGGGCCACTCGACTCTACGGACTCATCCGAAGGAAGAGCTGAGAGCGAGTGGCGAGTAGACAGAGGAGTGGCCTGAGGCGAGGAGTACGTGAAGCCGAAGCGCTGAAGGACCTGCTGCACCATGTGTGAACTAGTCAGGGTGATGGTGCGGCGTGCTCTGTCCCGGGTGATCTGCAAGCCAAGGTAGCTGCGCAGTTCACCCAGGTATGTGCACGTGTGTCTCTTCTGCAGCTCGGACTTCACGTGGGCGAGTCCAGCAGTGTCAGCTGTGGCAAAGACCAAGTCGTCGACGTACACGAGGATGTAGAGCGGCGGCAGAGAGGTGTCAGGTGCGTAGAAACAGCGACGGGTCAGCAGTAGAGGGAGCAAACCCAAGAGCCGCAAGTGTAGTCCTCAGTGTGTCGTGCCACTCGCGCGGTGCCTGGCGGAGACCGTAGACTGGCCGTCGGAGGCTCCACTGGGTGCCAGGAGGGAAAGTCCCAGTGAAGCCAAGTGGACGGCACAAGCAGATCTCCTCGTGCAGGCTACCCTGCAGGAAAGCAGTGCTGAAGTCAAGGGAGTGTAGCTCGTAGTCACGCTGAGCGGCTATGTGTAGCAGCACCCGAAGAGTGGTCATCTTCGGGTGGGAGAGAAGGTCTGAAAGTAGACAACTCCCTGCCGCTGACTGAAGCCATGAGCCATGTACCGCGACTTGAAGAAAGGTGGAGAGCCCGGCGGCCGCTTCACCCTGAAGATCCACATGCCCACTGACGATGTTCGCCCCAGGAGGGGGAACCGCGTCAACGTAGGTGCCTGTGGACTTCCAGGAAGCCATCTCTGCATCCATAGCTGCCTGCCATTGAGAGGAGTAGGGGCCCTCTATGGCCTCCGCGTAAGAGCGCGGAGTCGGGATGTCTAGTGCATCCGGGTCTCCCTCAGGGGTAAGCAGTACGGACGCGAGATGAGGTGAAGCAGCAGCCAGACACTGGAACTCCTCCTGCCTGTCCTCAAGGACGTCCGTGCCAAGAGCACACTCACCCCCGACGGACGGAGGACAGACAGACTCAGACTCAGCAACAAGAGTAGCAGCGTAGTCTAGACGACAGCTAGCAGCAAAGTCGACGAGCTCAGCCACAAGAGCAGACGCAACAGTGGACTCAAAGGAGGGGTCAGTGACGACAGTAGCAAGGAGACGCGTGACAGTAAGACTGGTAGCACGAAGAGAGTCCGACTCAGGGTCGGCAAGCGCAGGAAGAGAGGACTTAGGAGGAGAGGGCAAAGGGGGCACGCAGAGGAGCAGTGGACGGACGCACAGACATCCGGTGCGTGCCAGGGACAGGAGGAGGACGCTGACGCGAACTGCGACCACTAGTGCGAGCATCACGAACAGGCGACGAAGGACGAGACGCAGGCTCACGACGCTCAGCAAGACCTCCAGTAGGACCAGTGTACGGAGAAGGAGAAGGCAGTGGGGAGGCCGGCGGTAACTGTGACTGTGACTGGACAGGCGGTGGACACTCTAAGGGAGGAGGAAGACCAAGAACCTGCTGAAGGAGCGGAACAAAGTACGGCCGAGGCCGCGCGGCGACTCCAGACACAGCAGGGACAGCACCAGCAACCCCCAGCAGCAGCACCAGCGTCAACAGCACCTCCAGCTCCAGTACCTCCAGCAGCACCAGCATCACCCGCAGCAGGGACCGCTGCCAGGACTGACAGCAGTAGCCTCTGCGCCAACACCCTCAGCAGCTCCGACTCCAGTAGCACTCGCAGGACTAGCACCTCCGAGACCGGCGGCACCAGCACCCTCAGCAGCCGAAGAAGCACCAGCTCCAGTAGTACGCCTCCAGCGCCGGGCAAACCACTCGCGCAGCTCCTGTGGAGAGAGTGGCTCCCGCCGAGACGAAGCACCCGGAGAACCACCAGGGCCCAGCACCGCCAGACGCCACACAAGCAGGTCCAGCGGCCGCGGGCTCCGCACCCCCAGGCTCTGTAGCTCCAGACTTAGCACCCCAAGGCTCAGCAGCTCCAGACGCAGCACCCCCAGGCGAAGGACCCCTAGGCTCAGCACCCCCAGTCGTAGCACCCCTAGGCTCCGCACCCCAGTCGCAGTACCCCCAGGCTCAGCACCCCTAGTCTCAGCACCCCCCAGGCTCAGCACCCCCTCGTGCAGCACCCCCAGAGTCAGCACCCCCAGGCTCAGCACCCGCAGCAGTACCAGAGTCACCAACAACCTCGACCGGACCCGACTGCGTCTACCTGGGACACACCTGAAGGGGCAGGACCCTGAGGGGGGAGGGGGTCTACCTGAGGGGGACCTGGCACAAGGAAGTGCGGCGGCGGGGGGAGGGAAGGAGTGCGGTAGGGTAGAGACGGTAGTAGGGGACGGACTCGTCGAACGTGACGTCCTGGGAGGACAGAACACGACGAGAGGAGGGGTGGTAGAACGGCCACCCAGGGGCGTCAGTGGGGAAGCCAAGGAAGACACAGGGAGCAGCACGGGGGGACAGCTTGTCCGCAGACAAGTCGCGGACAAACACCCGAGATCCCCAGACATGGAACGCAGACGCATCGCCGACCTTCCCCGTCCACAGCAAGGCTGGGGAGGTCTCCGGCCTGGAGACCCTGGGGTGAAGGTTGATCTGATGCGCCGCGTACCAAACCGCAAACGACCACAGAAAATGGGGGGCAGCCGCATGCATCATGGACGTACGAGCGACGTCCATGACCATGCCAATGCGGCGCTCAGCAATCCCATTTTGCTGTGGAGAGTTCGGAAGCGTAAAGGTCTGGCGGATGCCTCGCGCACGACAGTAGGCTCGCAGAAGGCCAGAGGAGAACACTCCGCCTCGGTCAGAGTGCAGACGCAGAACAGGAAAGTCCGAGCCGAAGCTCCTCCTGAGCTGGAGACGAGCTGCGCGGATCCAGTCGATCAACACCTCAGTGACATCACCTTTGCTGCGCATAGGGAAGACTGTGGTGTAACGCGAGTAGTCGTCAACCACCAGCAGGAAGTAGCGCTCGTGACCCTGTCCACGGACGCGGGCTGGGCCCCACACGTCCATGTGAAGCGTCTGCAGCGGGGCCTCCGTCGGGGGAAACTGAG